GGAGCATTTCGCGAGATGCAAGGGAAGAATGACCAGCCGCAACCCTAGACATCCACTCGCGACCATACTGAGGCTTTCGGAAGCGACCAACTCCTCACTAGGTTGAGAGTTAGCTTTCCGTTTTATCAGGCTAGATAATGCATTGGCTTGTACAAAACTGTCTGCGCAAACGCAGTCGATCACAGTCATATCCAAATAGTATTGTTGCCCAGTAGGTCTTCCGTTTGAACAGCGATGCCTTTTTCGTCTACAAAATGGCTAAAAATGGTATTTGATCTGTGAGTAAATTAATCTTTACAATGAAGCATTTCATAAAATCTGCGGTTATTTTTCAGCTTTTTTGAGATGTAGAACAGTGCCTTATATAAGATAATGGCGGAAATTATAGAGCAGAACTACTCCCACATCGCACCCGGATGCATGTCTTCCAACAAATTTGAGCAGAGTAGAATCATAGTACTTTAGCATTAGATTGGATTTCAACAGTTGCTTTAATTCGTTTAAAGATCCGTGATCGCATGATCCCGTCTATTTGGAATCTCGCTTCATTTTGGTGTATAGTGGGGTGCTAATATTATACTTAGGTGGAGTCTTATTATTGTCACAGTTTACAAGACGAAATCCGTTTTGTTTTCGGTTGCAGTCAATCGGCTAATAGCTATCACTTGAATGAATCTGGGTCCGTTTTAATTGAACCAAGAACATGTATGCTTGGGAACGAAATTGAACATTTGTGATGCGCATTAACACTTCATAAAGTCGGATCCTATTTCGTACCTCGTCCGTGTGTCGCAGGTGTTCTGCCTTAGACTTGCTCACAGTCACAGTGTTCTATATATGAGCCAATGCGAATAGGATATCACGAATCATTGCATCAGTTATCTACTGAAATATGGCCACAGTGTGCTCTTCTCTTGAATTGATTGTTAGTAGTTATTTGCATACATGAGCCACCCTCTTTTTGGGAGTAAAAATCAGAGAACCTTTCGCCTCCGTTTGATCACCTAGCGCGGGTAATGGCTACTCATTTGTTTCTGAACAGTTATTTTAAGCTCAGTTGAGAAGTCAGCGTAGATTCTGATCCAAGCATTTGCTTTTTTATTCAGCAAAATTAGTGTCGCCCAGGGTGAATAATTAAATTAGGCCAGGTCTGAAATTTTTCGATCTCCTCATCCACCTCTTTCGAGGGAGCATTGTAAACTGAGAGTTGCGCACGATCTAGAATCTGGTTTTGGGTAAAGAATGATTTCGTGAACGATTTCAATGTCTGGTTCGAATATTTCTGCATATTTCATTTGGTATCGTCGATCATTAAACGGTGTGATCTTTTTGATATCTTCGTGACGTCAGATACGTGAAATGAGCTCGTGCACGAAAACGCTTGCAGAACATCGGCCTCTAAGTCATTTGAGAGGTGAGTTCCCTAATTCCAGCTAATTGACCCACTCAATATCAAAGAAATTTTAACTGTCGAAGGCGTGAGCATAACAAATGCCATGATAATAAGGATCGCGAAAATGAAATTTTAACTCGTCGGGTGGCATTCCGATGAATACGATTTATAGGTGCTGCCCAGGACTGATCCAAGTAGAGCGAGAAACAGTCGCTATATAGTTTAGGATTATAAGATGGTCATTTAGGGTTAGAGTTACGTGTTTCTGCATTTGTTTGAGCGTATGGTTTGTGGATGCAAATATAGCTTTCGATGGATGCAAGGAAGTACATTGAAGCTGATCACAAGTCTGCTAGGTGAGCACAAACTAAAATTTTCATCGTCTCCTATGTATCCATAAATTCACTTAAGGGTAAACCTGTAAAGATGAAGTCGCACGAAGCGCCATTCCCTGTAGTGGTCAGTGGTGGACGTCGGAATCATATCGCAGCACAGTTTTCGTTGTTTTGAGTCTGAATTTCGAGTTATTTTTTCTCACAAGGGCTTTACCGACGGTATGTGATGTGCGTTGGGTCATTATGCAATCAGGTTTACATTTGCAAGCCTAACATATTCACATACCAGATTCTGCACTGGTTGTTCTTCTGAGGCATCCCGCATTGCAACCGGTCTTGAACAGAGTCCGGCCTCATCTGGAGAAGTCAAATCCGCGATTTGAAATGGTTGCCTCTGGGTTCTTGCAGTGTGGTGTTCACACTCTTCACTGACTTGACTTGTGAGGGAGACTATTTATTCGTCTGGTTTTTTTGTAATTTGTAGACAGTTGTATTAGTGCTCTTTCACCAAAGGTGGTATCGTTTCACTTAACACAAAATCTGGGGGGTGCCATGGCAAAACGATTAAATAATGTCCTGTGTGTTCCGGAGGTTACAGCCTCTGTATGATTAAGAGCACTCGAAGTGTTCATCTACAGGTGCATTGCTAACCAGAGAAACGTCTTCGTGAGAGTATTGCCGTTTTATGTGGCAAATAAATTCCTGACAGTTATTGATTCTTTCAACTTTGAGTGCCGATGTCTGGTCACTGCTTGAAATATTCACCGAAGTGAAACAGGATGTTAATAATTCGATCATCCTCGTTTGAAGTTCTTGCTGTGCCAAAAGTGACTGTTGCTGCTACCGCAGATAAGTTTGGAATAATTCTCCATTCCCGCCACCACTACCTGTTAGTAGCCAGGCGTGAGGCGACAGAACAACCGCTTGCTGAGTGAATCGTTTTCCCAATGAATGAGCATTATGAAATAGATTGATAAGCATCAATCGATAAGACAGTGAGCGTTTGGCGTTTATAAATTATACGGACAGTATACCTGTTCTGCGTCTGCACGTGTGTGTAGTACAACTGACGCTCCCTTTATTCACATACTACCGAAGGGTCTCGGAAACACTTTGCCGCTGTTTAATCTTTGTCGAGGATCGTCAACTGCACATATTCACGTAGTTATGACAGCTTGATTCCGAATATGTAGGATTGTGGGTTTCATATTTTACCAGCAGATTACCCAACTGACTGTACTAGTCCCTCGTAGGAAACAGGTTTCAATTTCCTTACGTTGTTCTTGTACGTTGTCGGTCTTACGAAGTAAGACAATAAATGAAAATTGACCGGATTTCGTTTCCCTGCAATAGAAGGGATCAATCCCTTAGAAATTTTTGACATTATATCGGACGCTTCCTAGCGCAAACAAATTTAGACTATAATTAGTGATTTTCGGCACAGATATGTTCAACAAACGGTGAATAGTTGTGACAAGCTTTTATTGGCAGATTCACAGCAATCATGGTGTCAGGATTGAGATCATTGGAGTCTGTTTGTTCGCGTATGTGCCAGTAGTCTTCCAACCAGTCCACTAAACCTGCAAAACTGTTCACCGAATGCAGCAAAAGTCGTCGCGATCGATCCAGATAGGATTCCATCATCCAATAAACGTGCTGATGTATCGTCCGGAAAGTTGTTCCTCCAGGATGTTGAGTGGATAGTTGTAACCACCGTTGCACAAGCTCATGCAGATTCCTATCCATCACATCAGGAGTTTCGGTGCTAAACAGCCTGGGGTTGGTCAGCAATCCTCGAGCTACCATAACACCTAAAATTCGATGGAAAAGTGAGGGTATAAACCGGGATCATACTGACAAGCTGTTTGACTCACGGCTAAATTTCAAAATGGAATTGAGCTATATTTCCAGCGAAAGACGTGCTTACACCATTAACCCGAGGTAACTACTATCGTACAACAGCGGTAAACGATGAATTTACACAACATGGATCTCTTACACCAAACGACAGAATAGTAATGAAGAAAAGTGAAGTATTGACAAGTGTTGCATCAAATTTTCCAGACAATTCGGGCAACTTGTCAGCTGGCTGGTCACAGATGGAGCAATGAGAGAGCGCCATGAAATGCTAATTTGTAATGAAAATTTACCACTACATTTTGTTCTCGAATAAGCATGATAGGCATCCTCGGAAGATTTCACATCCCCATTGAGCACGATTGGTAAGCAGTCACCCGTTGTCGCATGTCTGATGCCGGTTTCAACTAATTGTCGAACCAAATCCCATTCGGCCGGCTCGCTCGATCGCTGTTCCGGGGTTCTTGCGTGTAATGTGATCCAGTCCACTCCCATGGAGGCCAGTTGGCGACATACATCTACCGTGGCACTAATCTGAAAATTGGGTTCGAAGGCAAATAGAGGGCGGATGGTGAAATAGGATAAGTTTGCACAATTTTGTGATAAAGGTTTTGTCTTATCAATGAAATCTACAGCGATGACGCTAACACAAGCCGCTGTAAAAACAAAACCATGTGTTTATGCGATTGTTTTATATATTTAATACTTTTATAAACGTAGGCCCCCAAAATCCTTTGTTCTTCCTTGATGTTGGCAAATAACTTTTGATTAAATTTCACTTTCCAGTTTTTCCTCCCAGAAATCTCATATCACACGAAATCCAGTGTGGAATTTTGAATGATATATGTCCCCGAATCTTTCTAATATCGAACCATTTTCACCGGTCTCAAAATTGCATGGTGTTGAAGAGTTCGCTCTTGGCTAAACAAGGTACACAAACTCACCTGAAAAACTGCCGTCCATCGTCGATTTTCGTAACACAGAAAGTGCTTCGGTGCAATCGTTCGGTCGATCAGAGTCAATGACCGTACAAATCAGACAAGATAGCCCCTTTCTATTCTCCGATATAAGCGGTACGGGATGCTGACTAATATGAATCGGAATCTAGTATTGCAGTATATCTAGCTTACTAGAGGCTCACTTTTCATTTTTTACTTCCTTTTGTTGAATTTGTAACGATACCAATTTTAGAAAGAGAGAAGCGGTCAGTAGAAGGGCTGCCATATAACACAGAGTGGGTGACGTCAGGTGCCTATGGTGGTGTTCGAACACGCCCCACGGAGCAATAATTTGGTGACCTTAATCACTGGGCCACTCCCTCCCGCCGAAGCTTTGCCAACCACTCAAAACATTCATATCTGGTGTTAGTATGGACATAAGGCAATGGAAAAAGTTGATCAATGTGCACTTAATCATGCCCTCTGTCTATTCTTATGCGTACGAGCAAATGATGAACCGATTTCTTTTTTAAACAAAGATGCCGTATCATGATGTGTTTGCCAAATTGTATGATCTGCAAAAAGCATGTAGTGGTCGGGAGTAATTACTTTTCCGTGAAGTCTGCATTAAACCAATGCCAAATGATGTGACACCCATTGACACCACCGCCTAACTTATCGAAATAGAACAGAGGTTGGTTATTCCCTGTCCATGGTTTTTTACAAGACCAAAATAAAACGGGTATACAGAGTACCGGAGAATTGGGGGACTGCGACCTCCACTTTGGGCATCCTCCCAGTTTTGGGTCTTCACTTGAAATTTGGCTCTCTCCGAACTAAACAAGGTTAAGGGCTGGTGAAACACCTAAAATCGTTTCTGTGAGAAAATCTTACACCCATGCAGTTTGCACTTGGTTGTGCAAAGGCTAGAGGTGCATCCTCGAATAAGAATGCTGCATAATGCTGAGAACGCTATTTCATATCATCATCTCGTGATTTGTCTATTCATATCTGGAGTACGGCCAGAAACATGGGCCAACAGTCAGACGTGGAACACCGAAACATACATTTGGTGGACAGAATCCGACTATAGGACACTGATTATATCTATGTTGCCATCTGAGCTAACCCAACCTCTAGCATTAGATAGTCGTGAAAAAGTGATGGATGAAAAAGTCGTAAAAGCGAGGGGTATTTACTAAAAGCATTTCCTAAGTGTAAGAGAAAGAAAGTATTCCCGCAAACATGCAATCACATACACCTAATTTACACCAATCACAATGCAGTGCATCATTTTGATGATAACCGTTTTAAAAATTGCCTTAATTTGGGTTTGCGATACAATTTCAGTTAGGTTGTTGTCAGTTACCTCGAAAAGCAATTGCAAATAAATGACTGAGAAATCCCCGGATCCACAGGAAGGCCAAGGTTCACAAAAAATGTCTGCAGAATCAAAGAAATTAACCAGTCCACTTACCCCTGTCGTGTGTGTATCTTCTCCCCGGGCTCGCACACCCGAGGGAACAACTCGTATTTTCGCACTGACGGAGAATGGACCTTGCGTGCGGTACACGGTAGGATTCTGTGTTTGCTGATCTCCCCCTGTAGAGTTTGGTGATGCGGGCTGAATGCGCCAACGAGGGACAACACTTCGAGCAGATCGGATAAGCTCAGCGATTCGCTGTGGATTTCGCAGCAGCGAAGATCCGAGGCTCGATTGCAAAGCCCATCTGGATTGTATTATAAGGAGTTTAACTAGAATTGTAAATGTTACTGATTTGAAAACACTTAATTTCTCAGCAATCCAGTAAAAAAATCATTTATGGAACTCATTTTAAAAAATCGGTGTAAAATATATTACAGGAATGTGTGATAAAAACCCATGACCTCCGAGGCGGTTCGATGATGACCAATGTGACTAAAACCAGCACCACACATAGAACCGGTTGGTGAAGTGCCTATGAAATAAGTGATCACCGTATCACTCTTATATTTACCTTCGAAAGGAAGACTTACGTATGGTTGCACTAGAATGATCCCTAACACAGTCAGCCCTTCAGCTCCTTGAGATAGGTATTTCCGAATAAAACAGTCAATGCGACCATTGTTCACACTGCGTGTTATAAAAGATCTCGGTTTTGCTTCAAGTCCTATTCAGAGCGTGCAGCTCCAAATGAAGCAGTATATCATCGGATAACTTGTCACGTGGGTCAATCTTACACAAATTCGAATATATCTACCGTGATAACCATTTGGATCATAGATCGTTCAAACTTGAACTATTATCACTTTTGGGTTACATGGTTACATCAGTACCCGTGGGACATGCAGAGCTTGATGCTATCAGACGTGTTTCCGGATCGTGAATTTGTGGAATTATCTGCTGGAAGTTGACAAAACTGTCGATGACGAATGAACGACCGCGGAAAAAGACAGCGACAGCAATAATGTGGTATGGTGACTTTTAGATTGACTATATGGTTCCTTAACAAAGCAACACAAATCGAAAAATCGTGGTAAGGACCGAGGTAACTGCCTTCTTACCATCAGATCAATGAATGCCCCGCTAAGAAGTCAAGGTTTTATAGAGGATCTTGATTCCCCAACTGTCGCGTTTTCTCAAATTAATAAGAACTGAAACATTTATTTCTCGAGATAACTTTGAAGAGCGAGCACAACAAAGCTAGACTGCATGATTCATTCAAGTCAAGGCACATTTCGCCACATTAGATACAATACAGCAAATTATACGGTTTATATCGTTGAAAAGTACATCAGATTACACAGGAGCACGAATCCTTTAGAAAAGATTCTTCTCTTCGGTTTCGGTACCAACTAAGCACTTCATAGACTCTAAAGAATATATCACAAAAGCCTGATCCCTATATTAAACTTTGTGATATATAATGAATCATCATCATTGTACAGTGTAATACAGGGAGGCGAAATTCACTGATCGCTGCCAAACTCATAATGCATAAAAGGTAAGTGAGATTGTATAAGGAGGACAGGGATGGAGCCTACTTTTAGGGGCGGGCAAAGAAAGCGAACCTCTATAGAGTACACAGTCCAACTATGTATACATACTATTTCAAGCATTCTGGTCTGATAAGAAGTGACAGCAAGATCGCCAATGCTGTCGGTTCGCAGCTATGTTCAGTCAGCTCCGTTTATACAACCATTAACCATGCACTATCGTGCGCCGGTTTTGGTTGCTGTCTTTTGGCTGCCCATTTGGATGACGAATAGGAGAAAGACAGGAAAGGTTCAAAGTAGAATCGAAAAGAAAATTGAAAAGTTCAATGGACAAATAATACAGAGAAATTGAGAGGATGCACGAACACCACTGTTTACGACATCCAGCCATATCACTCAGTGTCTCTAACCATCGGGTAGGATCATCCCGAAGTCCCCATCCAGGGAGCCTAACGAGACCTATGTGACCCAGACTCCTGGTTAGGGTCTTCATACCCTCATGCCAGGTCTTAGGTTAACCAGTATCTCCAACCATATGGTTACGGAGTATTTTGGACCCCAAATAGTAAGACCAGAAACACCTAATCTATCTATTCATTCAGTGTGTTTCTTCATGTATCGTCTCCACATGGCTTTCTCCAGTCCGCAACAGCTACTGCAAATAAGGTGCGCTGCGGTAGGCGACATATGCAAAACGTATCCTAACCATCGGAGCCTATTGAACTGAATTCGATTCGACAACCAGTGCTTGTTCGATGCCTTCCCAAATACTCGACGTCTTAAATCTAGGTTACCAACCTGCTCACTCCACCCCACTTGGGCCAGACTACGTAAGCATCGATTGTCGAAAACTGCTAAACGACAGATGTCTTCAACCCGAAAATTCAAGGTCTCACAACCGTAAGACATTGGCGCGGTACATAGGACTTTTCAACTTCAGTGAAACGTCACGTCGTCGCCACAGATGTTTAAGTTCTGCGCACGCTGCTCGAGTCTTGGAAATGCGAGCGGTTGCCTCCTTTGACGCGCTACCGTCATTGGTCACGCAGCTACCTAAGTATGAGAAGCAATCAACTTCAGCTAATTCCTGGTCGTCTAGTTTCAGAATGGAACTCGTCGACAAGCAGTCTTGCAGCATCACTTTACTCCCTGAAGGTGCACAGTGCAGGCCGAACGGAGCGACAGAACTTGCTGACCCGTCAAGTGCTCTTTGTGACTATAGTAAGTACTGATCTTTTTTATTCACGTGGTCTTATTTACGTTTCACAATGAAATCACAAAGAATAGCAAATGTGGCCGCGATTGAATGTGCAGCAAAGCATTCAAGGGGGTTTAAAGAAAAGCGATAAACTTGCTTTTGCGGACAACCGCAGTTTAGGTCGACACCGTCACAATAACTAGCAACAAGTTCGGTGGCTCTCGCCAATTCACATGGGTCTTTAGATGCAAACTGGACGATCAATGGCCGATCATCTGAGGGAATGATAGGAACCAGACATAACGTTGTACAGAAATGAAAATGTGGGATAATGACTAATAATAATAATA